CCACTCTGCGGTTGTGGTTATGCCTTGCGGATACCACTCCCTTGTATTGACATCATCATAACCGTCGATGTCCTCCCACGTAAAAGCTGACAGTTTGTCCTTAACGCCGGGAGAGGAATCTGGGTTGTTGTGATTGGTTTTCGCAAGGACTTGCTTGACGGACTTGATGGGCAGGGCCTTATCGAGGTCTTTGATAATGCCAGAGTAATCACTTCCTTTGAGTTTGTAGTCATCCACAGTGATGTTTTCGAATTCCGCGACCGCTGGTGGCAGCGCGCAGAGAGCTGCCGCTGTTGCTAACAGTAGCGAAGACAAGTTCATCATCCTTCCTGATAGCAGATGTAGAAGGGGTTGGAAAATGGATTCTTGATTCTACATCTTTTGGGCAGGACGACCTCGGGATGGTCAGTTTTAAATACGATGATGTATTCCTCAATGTGTTGATCGTCGCCGCCAATGACGGTTAACTTGGTCATCAACTTCCAAGTTTCTTCGTGTATCTGCGCATTACTGCTCATTATTGTGCTGTGCAATCGATTTGAAGCATCTAGAAACACGGATTTGCGAGGACAACTGAAATTGGTGCTGGGAGCGATTCACCTCTCTCGTCTGCGCCTCGTCTTGGCTATTTGCAGCGTGTTGGTGAGCATTTGGTAATGTCTCTATTGGCGGATGGCCAGAAAAAGCGGGTTGTGGGGGTACGAGGTTTCAACAAGTTCTGGTAGGAGAATGATAGATAGAGCACATAAAATATACGGCTTGTATTTAGTTTACAAAGTTGTATGAGAAAGGTTTTCATAAACTAGTTATATTTACACATGTAATTCATATTCTATACTATAGCTTTTTTGAAAAACAAAAACTGTACAATATATAGATTAGAAGGGAATTCAAATTATCATTTATAAATTACTCATAATGATGTGAGGTTGAGATACGAGCGTCAAAATTTGGTAAGCTGTATGCAGACAGTACAGCATCTGTAATAAAATACAACTTGTAAGTTTAACTTTCACAATCCTTTGCCAACTCAAAACAACCACACGGGACCATCAACGCGGTGTTGACAAAGGAGTGAGGACAGGACATTCTCCAGGACAGCCCAATGTCGTATTTGCGTAGTATATGACGTCGCTATGTCTGCAGACGTACTGACTACCACTGTGCCTGAAATAGACGACGCGTCAAGCGGCCTAGACGATGAAATCGCGGCTCTACGTGCTCAGAGTTAGTTCTTCCACTCCCCTGGTGGTTGTTTTTATGTTGTTGCCACTGACCGCAGTCATAGTCCACAGCCTTACCAATCGCAGACAATTTCTTTCATCAAGCCTCCTGTCTACAAATCCAGTGCAAGATGCGCTGCGCCAGCATGTCCCGTCCGGGTTGGAAAAGAATATCGAACCCGTCATTCTCAGCAGCGGAGAGCACGCGCGGACCAACCACCATCGTATGACATTCTCTGTTACATCCTTTCCTTTCAAGGACCCTTCACCCCATGCAACATCGCCCAACCTACTAGGTATTCGATTTGACATTTGTACGCGCCATGGAAAATTTGTTCAACCATACTATTTGTTGTTGAAACACGTTGACAGGCCAGAAAAGAAGATTCTCCAAGTACATCGCCATACCATTCCTGTATTCATACCATTGAATCAGTTGGAGCGAAAATACCTTCCTGTGCCCCAAGGCACCAATGAGACAGATTCTACGAGTACAAAACCTAGGAATACTCCAAAGCAGGACTTACGCAGCCTCGTGCGGGAATTGCGGCGGGAACTTGTCGCATGGCACTTACGCTGTGATGCTCTCAGGTGGCTCCAAGAGGAACTTGGTCTCCTAGACGAAAGCAACCAGGCCTTATCATCACAGCCTAGTACGCGTGAAGATCAGCTGCCTGCGGATGGCTTGGGTATTGTATCCGTTTCTGCAACGGCTGTCGAGGCGAGATACATTCGCATTGAATGGCGAGATGGCCGTGTAGGTCGGATAAAACTCTCTAATAGTGGATTTGTGGAGCGCGCTATTATCATTGGTGATGAGGGGAGAGATAAAATGACAGAAAACTTGCTGACAGGGGGAGACGGGCGTATTGAAAGTGTTATTGAAAGGCTACGGGGTGCCGTGATGCCGGGATGAGTAAGCCATACATCGCGGATGGTTCCGAATAACTGACGTCTCGACCCTGTGTCATTGTCATATATATCTGACCTATCGCCCACTGCAATTCACGCTAGTTGACTAGTCTCCATGACTTGCACTAGGACTTCTGATGGTGAGGATCTGTCAGCTATGGCAACCCATCTTATGGTGTTCACTGCGAAGTACCCACATACTATGGCGATCATGACCGGCCCTTAATGATATTCAGTCGAAATGCATTCCCAGAATGAGGTGGCAGCATTATGCTCTGCATATTTGCTTATAGGCAACTGCAGTATTACTTTATTCGAATCAGCCACTATCGATCATCCAAAACCTGGAGCTGGCCTTGACTCGAAGAGTGGTCCGTATCCCGGATTTGTTCGAAGGTTTAGTTGCTTGGTCAGATCGTGAATTTATTGCCAGCGGTAATGCACGATTCTCATACTCGAGGGAGTTGGAGTTTAGTATGGGAGAGCAATTGGAGTTAGAGATCTAGGCCTCTGGAGCGATACGAACCGGGAATTTGCTCAGCCATTGCGTATGTCGCTAGCAAGAACAGATAAATGCCCTACTTTAGTTTTAGCAAAAAATACGTGTACATGCTTTTTATGATTACGAGGTTTACTTTTACTTTTGCCCACGCTTACGGTTTCATCCTTATTTTGACATGCGAGCCGGTGGAAATGTATAGTAGATACTTAGTAGAGGCTGAAGCGAGTATAGATGCAACCCACTCTTTCTCCTTTTCGATGCGCCGATAGACTCACCCAGCCTGGGACGAAGTTTCGTGTCAAGAGAAGAACCGGACAGAGTGGGTTGGGCTGATGAAAAATCAACATTCGTATTGCCCCGTGGAGATAGAGACGGAGAATTAATTATTAAATAATAAGAACAATAACTATATAACGTTAATAACAATATCTACAAAATTTGCTCGGCAGCTATGTTTTTTTTAAGGCTAGTTTAATTATTCTCGATTTTATGACCTCGAGAATCGCGCGAACAGCTAGGTCTAGATACAACGACACGGCGGGCGGGCGGTGTGACCAGAACCTTGATTCGTCAATAAAAATGCCAGACCGCGATTGAACATGGCGTGCATATTCTCGAAGGTTCAGACGCCATTAAGCGCTATGGATCTTATCCTAACCCCGCGCACGCCCCTCTCTGTGCATAAAAGGACTATAGGATCATATTTATGGGGGGTTAAGTAGCTGTGAACTTTTAGTGGTATAAAAAGGTTTAGAGATCGGACCGTAGCTTTGTGTCGATTGCAACGATTAGTTAACGAACAGTCGTTCAAGCATGCATATTTCCTTGTTACCTAATAATCGGAACACAATGACCAGCTTGTGGAAATCCTAGAAATCTAGAATTTGAACTCGTACGATTCTACTATGCGTGCAAACTGGTAGATTAATCAAGAGTATTCCCCCCTATTCAACTTCGGCATTTTGATCTGTGTCGTTAATTTATAAATTATGCAAGATCGCAGGGGTGGGAAAATATCTTGATAGATATATTTCCGAGTGCGAGTCCAGGAACCTGGAAACGTGGAACTTTGCCGGTGGGTCTAATTTTAAGCTTAAACGCTTAAACTAACCCCTGCAGGCACGACACGGTTTAAGCTTCCCAACTTTTATTTTTATTTTCGCGTGTCCCGTCCAGTTTCCACGCACCAGTTTCCACGCAATCAGGCGACATTATTGAAAGCAAACGTGCAATTTACACTGAAATTTCTTTGAAAAGGTTTCGAGACGTAAAATATTCCCCAGAATTGAAGTATATTGCACGGTTTGGCTAGTGAAGGAGAATAAGACGAAGAGGAAGAAGGCTGGCTGTTCTCCCCAACTTCGAAGGGGATGGGACTGGCAGGGATGATCATGGTTGGACACAAAGGATGGGGAGTTTGGAGGCTTTCACAAAAGCGGATTCAAATCCATTCCATGGAGCTAGAACGGGCGCATCTCTACATTTGAGCTAGTTTTTTTTTTTTTTTTTTTTTTTTTTTTTTAATGCACACCTTGCTATTTCAGGCTGTATAATGTTCATGTACTAGAAATTGTCTGCGAAAGCAGATATATTAACTTCGTTTCTATTTATTTCTCTTTCTCTTGGCGCCTTTTCTTTGTGCAATACATAAAAGGACTGGTGGCGCATGCAGAGAATACATAAATTGAATCACGATACTAGAAGAGGGAAGGAGGCAATCACCGGTAGGCAGTTCGTGCTATACAATTTAAGAAAAACTGGGAAAAAACAAAAGCAAAAGAGAAGATGAAATTATAAACATGCAGCAGAAAAATGAGGGGTATCAAACTGGCATCAAATCGTTAAAACAGGGAGATGTCGGGGGAAAGAAATGAGTAGAATTTATATGCGGAAATGGGATAGAATGGAGAACAGTGTATGTGATTGAGTCATAATAAAATTGGGCCGGCAATGACTTGGGCCTGTGGAAATCGGGTAGTGTTGGGGATCGACAAGAAAAGTGTGAGCGACAACCAAGGTTGGTATCTGAGAGGCATATCGTTTCATTAAGTTAAGATGAATTGCCATTTTCATATTCCTCTGAAAATGAAATGACTGGCAACGGAATATAATAGATACCCGTGTCGTTTTCCAATCTCTTTCTAACAATTGCTTCTTCAAGCATCCACCTTGATTTTAAGTGTTGTTCTCGACTGAGAAACCACATACTGGCAACTGTGGTTTCGTTATTACAACGGCTGACAAGGTTCTGGAAGTCTTTTTCATTTATATCGGCCACTTTGCTAGCTTTCTTCTCTTGTCTCGACATTGTTTCTTGGTATTTCCGTTCCTGGGTATCTCGAAGTACTTTGATCTTTGACATATGTAGAGTATCCATCCTGTCCCGTTCGCGGTACCTTTCGAGTAGATGGTCCCTGTCTTTCTGCGTGACATGGCGGTGGCGCGGCTGGATCGGAGGGGGGTCTTCCATGTCATTATCCAGGAGCCAGGATTGGGGATGCTGGGGACTGGCAGCCAAGTAGCCTTCCATATGGTGGATACGAATTTCTAGCGTTTGTCTTTCTCGCCGTAGTTCCTCAACTAAGTCAAGCTCCGCATTGAGTTGAAGTTCTTCAAGTCGATTCGCTTCTTGAATGCTCTACAAGTGTAAAAAGTCAATATGACAGTATAAGCAGGTTGAAAAATCAGAATTGAACACTAACCTGATCATCTATGTCACGTTCAATTCTCTGATGTTCTCTTCTCTTCAAAGATTTTGACTCTTCGTGTCTGAGATAAAGAGACTCGAGAGTGTCTTCTTTGAAAGCCAAATGTCGATCCCGTTGGGCCTCCTGAACACTGCGTAACTTTTGCAGTTGAGGACAATTCAAAGTCTCCATCATAGCAGGATTATCTTCTTCATTACTATGGTTTATTGAAGCGCTGTTATTATGTTGCGGCATCAGTTTGCCCAATTTCGCCTGTGAGCACTCAGCTTGCAGGCTATCAGGGCCCAGAGGGATTGGCTTGGTATCGAACCACGCCGGAGAAGCGGGCGATTGGACGGCTGCCGCAGAGCGCCTTCTAAAATGTGGAAATTTCCCAAAAGATAGTCTGAAATTACTAAACCTCACTCTTTTCTCACAACTACCCGGCCGGTTTCTCGAAGACGATAAACTCGATCGGTGAAATTGTCGCGGTCTTGACAACGCCGGCAGAGTGCATGGCTGCTCCAAAACCGAACCGGGCGACGTTGGGCGCGTAGAAATGGACGTAGTTGAATACATGCTGCTGGCGATCTCATTGCTTGAAGATAGAGTTGGCGGAGAAGATATAACATTGTTATTTCCATAACAATAACTTGTCGAAATAAGAGGAGGAGACCCGATGTGAAAGTGAGAAGACGAAGCTGGAAAATAGTTCGCATATCGGGATATATCGAACTGTGGATGCATATCACTGGAAATATCCAAACCAATCTCTTGGGCTATACCGATAAGCTCTCTTTCCACGTCTTCCTCCATTTGGTCAGGTGGAATTTGTAGAACAATTTCATGGTATTGGCGTTGGTTGATTGATGGAGAGCTGCTATATTCGAGGCTGTTTCTCATGAAAGATTGTGGTAAGTTTTCTGGAGTCGTTGCCGCCGCTATGTCCATAGCTTGCAATCGAGAGAGATACGCCCTGTAAACCGAACAAGCGACCCGCGACGGCGCGGTGAGCCAATATTGGTGATGGACATCAGACAGGGACAGGGATAAGAAGATAGTTAACCTGCGGGGATAATTATCTGGCGGCAACCGGTTAGCCCCTCGAACCCAGAGTGTATCAAATGCACTTGAGAAGGGATATTAAAGAAAATCTAGATGAGATTTGGCCTGAAACAGAGTTTGGAAAGAAGAATGCGAGCTGCAAGCTGCAACACACAGGTTGGAAGAAGTTTAATCACCGTGGAAGACAGATGTAGCCGCCGTACTCCGGCATCTCCACGTGATCATCAGCAGAAAAGGGGGAAACCCGAGGCTCCGGCCCGAGCTTAGTGGACCTTCTTGCGGAGTTTGCAAGCGGGCAGCTTACGGATTGCGGCTGAATGGGCCGGACGAATTGGCTGTCGGCCCCCGACTTGGCGTCCAGCCACAGGGAAGTTTTAGTTAAAGCTACGCCTGGCTTTTAAGCACTGCCCTATCCAGTTTACCAGGCTACCCCCGAAAGCTATTTGGGTCCCATTTGCTAGCATGGTTGAGGGTTTCCTGTGAACCCTAGCCTGATAACTTGTTTGGATGGACGGAGTGCTGCTTACGTGGTAATGTGCCAAAAATGCAACCACTGGTGCCAATATTAATGCTATATGGTCCATTAATGTTCTTGTCCCTCTTGTTTAACAGTTTCCCCTTGACATCGGTAACGAGGTGTGGTTTTTCACAGTCTTACTATATATCAGTTCAAAGTCATCAAAATTATTATCTCAAATGAAACTGAAGACCATCAGTTGTATTTGATCTGCTCAATCAAAGCTACATAGCATGTGAATTTCAATTATTCCACTACACATCATATTGAGATTAGAGGGAATAACTAATTCAACTTAAGTCGTGCCTCAAGCCAGCCGATGATACGACGCTTAATAATACATGACTCAGCCGTTCCACCATAGGCTCTAACCTTAATTTGATGTCAGGTCAAGCGACCAAGATCGCTACCTTCCTTCATTACTATAAATGAGGATAGTAGCTCAACAACCACTTAAAGCTGTGGCGTATGTTGCTATTTTGCCATTCTTATTCCTATTTTTGAGCTAAATATGTGCTCAAACTGTTTTCCATTTCATTGAAACTGTTCTATTTCCCATTTCCTACCACTCGGCGTTCTTCAGCCATCTCCATCATGGGCCCTCAACCTGCGGAAATGGATCCACATTTCACCGTCTTCATAAGGCTACCATTTCCTAGAGGCGACTTTGTAGATCCTCCTGCGGTATGTCTACTTAAATATACATTTCTTAGGATTTTTATCTGATGGTTGTCTCTAGGTGGAATGGAGTGTTTCTAAAGACCATGCTCTGTGGGATATCCTGTCACGGCCTCCGAAAGGCAATGATATTGATTGTCTGTGAAATCTTTGGTCATCATTCTATCCTTTTCGCGAATTCTAACTAACCTTATGACGATCGGCAGGGAAAGGATTGTATGATTTTTTCATGGCCGAATGAATTGGGCGTATCTAACGCAGTACAGGGCGGAACATTTTGGCGTGACTCTACCGTTCCTTCTTCAGCAAGCAGCTTGGCTATATGACAGGCAGCTATCACAGGTTAGAGCTCAGATACGAAAAGTTGGAAATCCTCATTCTGCTGCAAATTCGCCAGTGCCCCAATCGATGTCCGGGAGCGGCGCGATTGGTGGGCAACCTATGAAGAGAGCTGGAAGTGGCGGTACGTTATATTGAACTATCAAGTAGCTCTTATTTGCACGTTTACTAACTGAGGCACAGCGTCAAGAGACCTGTCAAAATTGTCGATACGCCAAAAGGAAGGACAATCCGGGAAACAAGATCCCAGCGCACCTCCTACGCCGACCCACTCCAAAGGTAAGTTCCAGCAAAAAAGGCATATTTACTATACACTGATATTGACTACTGCTCTGCAGCCCCCATGTACCCAACTGTCTCACCAATGAACCCTCCGATTCAGGCGATGGGCATAAGATCCCAATCACCTCGACAGGCAGCACTTGTTTATGCAGACTCCACCGGTCGCAATCAGCAATCTTTGAGAAAGGAAGCACGCACGGTTTCTTCACCTCTTACATCGCCCCCATTGGAGCAAGACATCTCACCAGCTAGCTCATCTTCCTCGTCATCCTCTGACTCCGGAGCCGAAGAAACAACAAGACGAGGGCCTCCGTTCGCAAGATTTGGTAGATTTTCTGTCCATCGGGGAAGTAATAGTATTGATGAGGATGAAGAGGACTCACCGGCATTTTTGCCTTTAACCACACACCATAAGTCATCTATACAGGAAGCGGGACATGACCCTAGCGCAACTCTTCGGCAGGAGCCAGAACTACCCGGCCATCCACATGCCGGTTCGGCCGACACCACTATTCCTTTAATCAAGACGTCTGCAACAGAATTTTCAGCCAGCTCGGGCAGCTCAGAGCCAGCAAGTAGCGCAGCGTCGAACGAAAGACCCCGGCCGACTGGCCACCCCATCAATCCCGACCGGAGGAGAACTGCGGAATTGGCTCGACTCAGTCCACGCCGGCGTGCAGCTGGCCGAGAGGGAAGTGATGGGACGCCCAGCATGGGCAGTAGCTTTAGCGATTTGGATGGTGCGCCGTTTCCTCAACAGATGAATATAATATACTCTTGTGTTTGTCGGTTCGCTAACTACTATATCCAACCCGCAGACGCCAGCTTAACACAATCTGCACTCGAAGAAGCTCTTCTAAGTACGATGCAACGTGGTGGAGTTGCAAGCAGGATGAGCACAATTAGCCAGGCGCTCAAGAGCAGATATTTGTAACATAGCCCCCCGTAGTACCGCTTTATTGCCACGTACATGTATTGCCTGAAAATAGCTGCTCTTTTATTAGATTTTAGATAGGCTTCACTGAGTCGCAATGAAAGAAAACCATGAATCACGTGATGTGTAGTTTCAACATGACGTCATCTCAGCTTGGGGGTTCCAAGGCAAACTTAAAGTTTCATCTTACCCAAGGGCCGTCCACAACATAACAACAGAACAGAACAATCGGACTGCGAATCTATTTGCACCGGTCGCATTGGACCTGAAGACATTCAATTGAGCTCGGTACCAGGCTATTCCGGCGTCAGCCCACCCGTGCCCCTCATTTAGGATCCCAGGAGGTTGGAATCAGGCAAGCTACATTGCAGAACGTGAAAGAAAGGCAATTCTCAACTCAATTTTCAAGGAATGACAAAGAGTGTCAGGGTTTTTGGATTGAGATTGCGGTCAACTGAAGGGTGGTTACATGGTTTCTGCTGAGCTGATTGAACGCAAGGCCTGCTAAGGATACTGTACGAGTATACAATTTTACTTCGTTGTTCGATTTTCCCGCAAGTGCATTGCGAAATCAACCCATTAGTCGCTCTTTCCACCCTTCCTCCAACTCTGCGGAAATGGCGCTCCCGAGTGCCAAAGTAGAAAACGTCCCACGTACGCTCGCGCCGGAGCCTGATTATTTCAAAACCAATCCTCCGCCTCGGGACCTCGAAGCGCACGCGGCCCAGGTCCAAGAATTTGTAGATCTCCATCTAGCTGCAAGCAGACGGGTGGTCCTCGTCACCTCCGGTGGGACCACCGTGCCCCTTGAAACCCAAACGGTGCGGTTCATCGACAATTTCTCCGCAGGCACACGAGGGGCCACATCAGCCGAATACTTCCTCCAAGAGGGCTACGCGGTGATATTCCTGCATCGCCAATTCAGCTTGCTTCCGTACTCGAGACACTATAGCCACTCGACCAATTGTTTCCTAGATTTCATGGACGAAGCCGCTGCGCCACCCTTGTCATCTCCAGGCTACGATGAAAATAACCCAGACCACGGCGCGATTGTAGTCCGCCCAGAGTACCAGGATGAAATGCGCAAAGTACTCCGCCAGTACCGCTACGCGAAACAGAACCAGCTCCTCCTACTCATCCCCTTTGTGACAGTGACGGAGTATCTGTACGAGTTACGCTCACTAGCGACAATCATGCGACCACTGGGCGCCAATGCGCTCTTCTACCTCGCCGCAGCGGTTTCAGACTTCTTCATCCCCCGCGATCGCATGGTCGAGCACAAGATCCAATCCTCAAACGAGGTGTCCACGCCCGCTTCCCAACCAGCACAAGGCCACAGCGTCATCCCCGCCGACCGCATCTACACAGGCTTCAATGACGCGCAGCCGCCAACCCATGGCAAGAAACTGATCGTCGACCTGGACCCGGTGCCCAAATTCCTCCACAGCCTTGTGAATGGCTGGGCGCCACAGGGCAGTATGGTTGTCAGCTTCAAGCTGGAGACGGATCCGTCGCTTCTGATTTCCAAGTCCGAGCAGGCGCTCAATCGCTACTCGCATCACCTCGTCATTGGTAATTTGCTTTCCACGCGCAAGTGGGAAGTTGTGTTCGTTTCTCGGGGCCCGGATGGGAAGATTTTGGAGCATTGGTTGCGGATCCCGAAGACTGCGGCCCCACAGAGCGGTTCGAAGAGGCTGAGCTGGAATACAGTCCAGCCACGACAACATCAACCTGTGACGGAAGGTAAGAAGAGCGACGTAGTTGTGATGACGGCAGATGCCAATGCGGGCGAGATGTTGGAGATTGAGAGCTTAATTGTTCCGGAGCTGAAGAAGAAGCATTCGGCGATGATAGAGACAGTTCTTGCAAAGAAGGAGTAGATGTATTTGTTTCTCACTGATGTCGATGTGTATGCAGGCGGTTATGGGCGTTTTATATTTTCAACTATATATATATATATATTTGAATCGTGGCGAAGTTTCGCTACTTTTTGATAGACATATCCCAAGATATAAAACCAGTAGATATCGATTCTATATTAGTTTCTCAGTTCTAGATATATTATCTGCATAATTGTATTTCGTACAGTAAAAATCGTTTTCTATGTAACTTTACATAGTGACTTTGGGTGATATGAAAGGGTAGAAACAAGTTCTAATAGGTCAATTCATTGTGAAAATAGCGAAATCATTGTCTCTTCAAGTCAGAGATTTTAATTTTGGCTTCTGACTACACTCTCAGTGGCTGGCCTTTTTTCATTTTGACATCACCATTTGGTACTATCATTAAATTACAATTTTGAATATGTATATGGCTACGGCTGCGAATCAATGATAACTACGGAGTAACGGAAGCCTGAATCGAGCTTAGTCCCTTCAGGAACACCAAACAGTGGCAGTTGCAACTCAATTCCCTAGAGAGATAACACTAATAATAATTGGCCCATAGGCAAAAAAAAGTATTAAACACTTTCTTTTCAATTTTAAACCCACACACAACAACCGCGGTAGCATACTCTAATCAAGGGGTGGCGCCGCTGGATCTTCCATACACTGATCGACTCTCATAATCCTCTTTCCAGTATTCCTGGCAATCTGGATAAAATCCTTTGTGTACATCACTGTATCCTTGCTGAGGAAGTGCATCACCACCAGGTCACCCCCCTTATCCACGTCACGCTGGAATGCCTCAACTTGCTTTTCAGGGGTGGGTGAACCAACCCACAACCAGTCTTCGATATCGACACTCCAGTTGATAATCTGAGGGTCTTTAATGAGCCTAGCGAGTCGCTGGCGAGTGCGTGCTCCAAGGATGCCATATGGCGGACGGAAGTATCGACCTTGGGAAAGTTAGCCCCATTCGTTAAAGCTGAGTCGCGAAGGGCCAGTCGGTCAAGGCTCTGTAAAACTCACTTTCGAATCCCAGCTGCTCTCTTACTATCTGGATGTTCTTAATAATGTCCTCATCGATTTCTGCATCAGTTTTAAGTTCCTCTATCCTATCTGTTTGTTAGCAATGGATCGCTAGTGGCAACTGACGCTTACCTCCCGAGGAAGTAACATACGGAGGATGCGACCATGAATGAAGCGCAACTTGATGCCCATGTGCCAACATGTCCTTATATAGATTAGTCCACCCAGAGTTCGGAGCCGCCAGTCCATTCCCCACTGTGAAGAACGTCGCATTGATTCCCTCAGCGGTCAGAATGTCCATCATCTGTCGCCCCAACTCCAGGGAGCCATCGTCAATACCAAACGCGAACGAATTCGGGCGTTTGCACCGTTTCCATAGAGACCCGGTCGGTAGCTTTTTGGGAGCAGGGAAATTTTCGGGTCTTGTCGCAGTGATTTCCACTTTCGATACTTTCAATTTTTCGTCAAGATAGAACCCTTTAAACGAGACAGACAAAGCACGGGTATAATCGATATTGAAATGCGAGATAGGGATATAGACATCATTATCTTTCATATATCTATGGGCCTCTACATCATCCCATGTTTCTGGGTAGGGGTTTTTGAAGGCATCGCATTGGGGATTATTTTGGCTCAAGGAGACGGTGAAATGGCTTCCCCCCTGGCAGACAATGTGTAGATACATGTCCTTATACGGATTGAGGTCGTAACAGGTGCTCGTGAGCTGGGTGTGGAAGTTCTGGTCGGCATTGGTGGGAGAAAATTCCACGAAGCCGTAGCCCCACTCCACGGGCATGTCTTCACCACCTCCATGCCAGGCATCCAGGTCGTTGCGCCCTCCATTTGTGAACGTGTCGATCACAAGAACGGAATCTTCCCCTGGCTGGGCGCGTGGAATATTGGAGGCGCACGTAGACCGCAGGAAGAGTGCAAGACATATTCCGCGGTTTGTGAGAGCAACAAGGTTAGCGAATCTCATTCTCGATGGCAATACCCCTTTTTTCCTTCTGTTTTTTGTTTGTTTATCGTGGGGTGTATTGGTGATTCCAGAGAAACGGCGTGGACGGTTAGAATGTTTTTGGAGGACGTGATCAATGAACCCTGAAGCAGTGAAGGGATCCTATCAGCAGTACTTAGATAGCTGCTCGCCGAGCTGTATAATATGAAATACGGGGAGGTAGAATATCCAGGCAAACAAGAACCAGTTTGTATATCTGCGCATGTCAAGCAACGAAGGCAGAGAACGACCACGGACACGCCCGGCAGGAGGCTCTTCCCCTCGCTGTGGTTTACAACAGGCTCCACCATCGCCATTTCCTGCATAAAAGGTATGTGTGTGTAAATGGCGGAAGGAGCAGCAGCTCTTCAATGTCGCAATGTTCAGTCTGTGTTGTTTTGGTGGACTTGGTGGTGTATCAGGAACTTCGGGTTGATACATGTCTCCCCTGATATTACAGTCCAATCGGGAAAATCAGGGATAGCCATCTTAACTTAGATTCGCCATTTGTATAACTACCCAGTCTAATCCACATAAGTAGCTACACTCCCTCTCTCATAAGAAGATTCCCTATGGGCGAGGCGCAATTGTGAACACAAACAAAGAGAAAGGCAAAAAGCTCCCATTGCCAGTCCACTCATGAAAGAAGGAAACGAAACCCTCCTTCAATCGGCCTGTGAGTTGTGTTGCAGCCGTGTTGCAGCCGTGTTGAAAGAATCCAAATCAGAACAGAAAGAGGACGTAAAATCAAACGCAAATTGTCTAAACCATACCTCTCCCGTACTCGCTTCAAAAAACCTCCAAAAAATTCCCCCAATATTTCCTCACCTCTTGAGAAGACAAAAAAACGGGGGGGGTTTGAGAGGGTGTTGTCAGCTAATTAGTTATCTCAAGATCGCGGGGATGCGTTACCCTTCAATTCCGTGGCCCGATGTGGATATAAATCGCTCGGAAGCGAAAGACACGTCTACCAGCCAATGCTAGGATTCTCGGTGTTCCACCCTGGCGCTGCTTCTGGCTCAGCAGAAGTAGCGGTTGGCGCAGGCCCCCATCCATCCCCCCCAGAAGCATCCCCCCCGTCAGTTTTTTCATCTTCGTCATCCGTATCGTCGTTGAAGCGAACGTCATCTCCCTCTGGTTTCTCGGACTCGAGGAAGTCAGGCAAGGGCTGCTTGCACTCTAACAAGATCTTAACTAAGTCCGCTGCAATGTCGCTGTTACGATCGTGGTTGTAGAAAGAAGTAGCGAGTCCTTCGTTTCCGATACGGGCAGTGCGTCCTGAGAAAATTTAAATTAGCTTAATGTATCCCTCTCTTTCTTCTTCTTCGCCTTTCCGTGATGACATACCGATTCGATGGATATATTCCTCAATTCCCCCGTGAGTGGCGCTGGGCATGTCGAAGTTGATAACATGCATGACGTTTTTTATATCAAGGCCACGCGCAGAAACACCGGTAGCAACCATGATGGGAGACTTTGCTGTCTTGAATGCACGTCTACACATTCTACAATTAGTGACTCGAGGTGTCTCGAGGCCCCTCGGGCAAAAAAAAAAAAAAAAAAAAAAAAAAAAAAAAAAAAAAGAGAGAGAGAGAGAGAGAGAGAGAGAAAGAAAGAAAAAAAGAAATTGTGAATCCAAAACAACTTACAGGGCATCTTCTCGTTCGCGCTGGGTACGGTCAGAATGAATAGATGTACTGGGCAGGCCCATATTGTACAGGTAATCGTCGATTAGGTCGGCTTGGGTCTTCGTATTGACGAAAACAAGGGTACGGGAAGGGGGCATGGAAATAAGCAAGTCGTAGAGGGCCTGCTTTTTCAAATGGTCTTCCGCGTAGACGATGTTCTGGCTCACATTCAGATGGGCGCTTCCAGCACGGCCGATGCGGATACGGACGTGGTCCGCCGCAAGGAATTTGCGGGCAAGTTCACGACAACCTTTATTGAAAGTCGCGGAGAACATCATATAGCGATGATCTGCATCTTCGTTGGTATCTATACTCATTGTCAGAAAACTCCTGCATTAAGTAATTATCCTAGCTTGTTTCGTATAAGTACCTCCACCAGACATCAGCTTGCTTAGTTCGGTTTCCCAATCAGAGTGAAGCATTTCATCCGCTTCGTCAACAATGGTGTACTTGACACGATGAAGAGAAAGGATGTGCGGCTTCTCCATGAAGTCAAGAAGACGCCCTGGTGTCCCGATGAGGACATCGCAACCCTTTTGGAGTTCAAGGCGCTGTTCACGCGTAGGACCACCGCCATACACAACACAGGGCCGCAACATAGAACGGTAGCACAAACGGCGAGCTTCGTCAAAGATTTGAGTTGACAATTCGCGGGTTGGGACAACAATAAGGACTAGAGGCTCCGCACGAACACAGTCCAATGATTCGTTGAACCCATTGCCCAGGTCTGGACGGGGAGCGGCGAGCTTCTTTGCCTTTCCCATCAATTTGGATAATACAGGTATTAGAAACGCGGCAGTTTTGCCAGAGCCTTACTGCGTCAGTAACGGGGATTCTCGAGCTTAGGGTTAGAAATTGGCTTCTTACCTGTTTGGGCCACGGCAATGAGATCGTTTCCGGTCAAAACTGCTGGAATGGCGTACGCTTGAATTGGTGTGGGAACCTTATAGCCACATAGTTTGATATTCTCACGCATAACCGGATGTAAACCTGCTTCATCGAACTGGACATATTCTCAGTAAACCTTTCAACACGGAAGACAGAAGGTAGCTTACGTTCTTCACAGGATCGGGTTGATGGGTTGTTTCTGCCGTAACTTTGACTTCACGAAGGCTAGTGACTGTTAGTATTGACAACAAAATGATGATTTCGGGAACCGACAAAGGAATTCGATACTACTTACCGATCGAACTTGTTCCCCGCGCGGTTCAGATACTCATCGTGGAAAAGCATTTTTTCAAGCTCCTCATTCCGAGGACCCACATCGCCATACTCCTCCTTCCACTCGTACTTCGCGGCATTGGAAGCTCACTCAGGGAGATCGGTTAAGCCAGCACCCTCACCAGGCTTTGGATCCGCATTGTACGTGTCATAATCGTAACGTTGAGGCTCTGTTCCAACCCTTTTGGCCGCGCCAAAGCTGCAGCCTCTCCTTCAAGTTATTTGCAGAGTCCGCAACCTGGTCGATTGCCTCTGTCAGTTTCTGC